CCTATTTTGAGTGGAAGCAGAAACAAGCTGTTTTTCGGGCCTGTGTCTTTAAATGCAAATGAGCTGCTGCTCCCCCGCCCCCTTTTCCAGAATAGAGCTGCTCCATTGCAGCTCGTACCTGCTAAACAACATCTGTTTTGCTTCTGATTATCATGTTTATCGTGCTGAATAAATGCACTGCTCTCTTGTCTCCTCTGAGGCTGGGACTCTAAACAGTGTTCTGTGCTCGTCTGTGCAGCCAAACACAGAACAGTTAGCATGCTTTGCTCAAACTTTCGCCACGGCATTAGAGCTGGTACACCGTTGTCGCTTGCGAAATCAAAATGACGGCGCCTTGAGTGGAAGTTTACAGATTAAGGGCCGGTAATATTATAATGAGATCCCTTTGCCACGTCACCAAGGGAGCGAAATCAGACGCGCTCGTTTTCTCAGATGCTTGCAGAAAAAGGCTTCCCAAAACAAAGTAACTGGGTTAATCTTTTTCACCTTTCCTTGGTTGGTAGATGCACCGGGGACCTGATTATAGCACTTTTTTTTCATGATATGTCACCTTTAAATAAATAAATAAATACAATTTTGATTCCATGTGGGCTTTTTTTTTTTTGATTAGAAAAATGCATGTTGGGTTCTACAAAATTAAAAGTTGATACAAACCCCACCAAGTTAAGTTTTAATAAGAGTCATTTTCAATTCTGTTTTACTAGTGTGGAGGGTAAAAAGTATCTGCGTAAAAACCTCATATATACTGATACTGTACTTGAGGGTTGACATTTAAATATTTTTGACTCCACCCTGACAGTTTCAGGGGTTGAAGAGTAGCATGACTAAAACAAGCTCAAACTTGTAAAGTTTGGTTAAAAAGTATGCAACACCCTCTCCTCCATCTTGACTTTGTAAAGTTTTGTTAAAAGGGAGAACAGCTGAACAGAGACAAATTATATAAATAAAATGAACTTATTGAAAATAGAACTCTAAACAAACTGCATAGGTAAACATACAAGTTTGCAACTGCATAAAAACTGCAGAAGTGCACACTGGGGCAAATATTGCAGAGTATTATTCATTAGGATGTTACTGTAGCTCTAAACAGTATGTGGTGTTGGCAAAGCTAAGATCATAGGTTTGATTCTCAAAAAAATACATAAAATGTATACCTTGAACATTTTAGATATTTGATTATTTTTGTTTATCATTATTGTCCCCAGCTGTCCAAAATCAACCTAACAATTATATTGATGCACCAAATGCCCACATAAAGGCATAACTAAATGTAATAAATAACTAAATAAATAAAAAATAAACTGAAGATGCACTCCAAATATACACTGTTCACAACGTTACAGACACATTAACTCCAAACCATTCACATCAAACATTCTTCCATAATTATCCAACTATACAAAATAAAATCACCTACCAGGCTGTCACTGGAATCTGTTCAACCGTAAATGCCAGAACACAAAGAAACAACTTTATACTGACACTAAATAAGTTTGAATCATTCCACACCCTCTCAGAGACCAAATCAAGTCTGCTATTCTCAAAACAACCACTTCCTTACATTCTTACTGTACAAGTAGTCCCTCCCTCAAAAACATAAAGGACATACCATTTGCATTCTATCTCAGTCAGGTGACTTTGGAAGTGACAGTATAATCTATTTGTTCTTTTTTTTGCAACAGAGAATGTTCTTGTTCCCCTGGATTGTCAATTAAACTTGACATACTTGTTATTACAGTAATTTACATGGCCCTTAATTTACCTAAAAACTTCTACAGTAGTCAAAATATCTCTATGTGTGTGTGTATGTGTAATTTTTTGACATGTTTTTCTTGTAGAAAGTCGTCTTAAAACTGCAAATAGCTTGAAAAGAGACAGATTATATAACTAAATGAACTACATACAGTTTTGCAACTGCATAAAAACAGCAGAAGTGCGATTTACGCGCCAAACACATGGCGCATTGGGACAAATACTTATAGTATAAGTGATAAGTATAGTACTAGTGTGTAGTACTAGAACAGGGTGTTCCTGTTAGTTTGGATGCATTTTATTATTTATATTCATCCTTATGAATCTGCTACCTTAGCAAAACAGACAAGTAAACAATTTTGTGCTCACAACCTAGCAGTTATATTGATATAAATGATGGTATACATACACACAAACGGATTTCATCACTACATCTGGTTTAAAAAAAAAAAAAAAAACGATGAATGATCCATTTGTACACTGGAATATTTTCTATGCACTTTTTTAAATGTCCATTGCACTAGTGTTTTGTACAGCTTAATGTATCGCTTACATATTAATTTGTAAATGATGTTCATAGTTTCTGCTTATAGTGTACATACACTTATTACATAATCCATCTGTATAGTATGTTCATAGTACACCTATCTGTAGATCATGCTGAAAGTATTTAAAAATCTGTAAATTATGTCCATAGCACTGCCTTATCTGCACAGCAAAAATATGTCGGGAGATTTGTCACCATGGGTGTTAAAATTATTACTTTTCGGGTGAACATACAGGTCCATCTTTGCTAGTGTTAAAACAACACTGACAAAAGTGTTTATTATACAAACACTGTGTTAGTGTTTCATTTTAATCACTCAAGGTGTTGAGAAATTATTACTCGCAAGTATACACATTTAACACTTCGCTATGCACTTTTTTTTTTAATATATCCATTGCACTAGTGTTTTGTACAGCTTAATGTATCGCTTATACATATTCATTTGTAAATGATGTTCATAGTTTCTGCTTATAGTGTACATACACTTATTACATAATCCATCTGTATAGTATGTTCATAGTACACCTATCTGTAGATCATGCTGAAAGTATTTAAAAATCTGTAAATTATGTCCATAGCACTGCCTTATCTGCACAGCAAAAATATGTCGGGAGATTTGTCACCATGGGTGTTAAAATTATTACTTTTCGGGTGAACATACAGGTCCATCTTTGCTAGTGTTAAAACAACACTGACAAAAGTGTTTATTATACAAACTTTTTGATAAACTGGAGAACATTTTCTTTAAGCTGAGTTACATCCCTTGTCTTACCAACCTCTTTTGCAAGCTTAGAATCATCCAACCTGGGTCTCTTGGAAGGGCAGGCAGAAGTTTTGTTGCCTTCATTGCATTCAGTAAAAGTTGAAGACTTGCTGACAGACTTCCCATCAGTCAGAAGGGGGGACAACTCATGTGCAGAAGTGGAATCTGTATACAGCATATAAAAATATTACTTGCAAAAATGTAAACATCACCACAATTTTAAAATAAGACCAAATAAGTATAAACATAATTACCATCATTAGTATGTAAACTAAAGCACATGGCCCTTTCAGCAACAAGTTCAGCAAATACATCCACGTCCACTTCTGTAGAGGTGTCATCCGTTACCCTAACAGGTGTCTGTTCTGGAATGGCAAATGCTTTTTTTGCTGTAAAACAATAACTTCATTACTATCCTACATTTTTTTTTTATTAATCATAAAGACATTAAAGTACTTTGTGCATTTACTGTATAGTATAGCTTAATTTAGAGACTTGCCTTCAGTGACAAACTCCAAAAAGCACGGCTCTTTGAGTTTTACATATTTTCTAGTGTCCCTATATCGTGTTCTTGCCTTTACTGTCCAACCTGTAACAGGTAAGCAAACTTGAATGACATTTTATACAAACAAAAATGACACATAAAAATACAAATACATAAGATACAAATTCAAAAAGAAAACTAATAAGATTTTAATTTGTCACAAAATGCTTGACACCATTCCAGTGTGGGCACAGGCGTCGGTTTAGGTTTTTGCCAGTGAGGATAAGTTATGTGCTTATCCTCCATAGAAAAAAGCAAACTAACAGACTCAATATAATAAGGTCACTTTGTGTTTTACTATAGATTCTGTTTAATACCAACACACATATTACAGTAAGAACTACCACATGCCTATGTCAATTGTCAAAACAACTCAAACTTTATATTCACACATAAGCACTAAATACTGTTACAGATTTACAATACCACACATATAAAGCTAGAACTAAGTACAGAAAAAAATCCCTCACGTCAGGCCAACTAATGCACGTATGCTTAACTAATACTAATACAAAACGAGACAAAAAATGCCTCAGCGGGAGAAACAAACCGGTTTACCCGGTCTTGAGTTGCTATCTGTCGGCTGATGCAGCGCTTCCCTCCCGTACTTAGTGCTCGAGCACGTTTTTGCGTTTCTCAAGAAGAAATGTTTTTCGACTTTTTGGAGCGCTGTACAGACTGATCGGCAAATGTTATCAAAGTACCACGAGCACGATGCTAGATGTCTATCTCGAGATGTCAAAGGCCGATCAGTAGGCCGCCAATGACGTATCTCGTGCGTTTCTGTGGGTGCTCGGCTAAATCCATTAGCGGGGACGCCACACAAGAAAATATTATTTCAAGAGCAATTCATTCGATTAACGTCTGCTTTCTGGTTTGCATGACATTTCAAAACACCAGAATTAAACCCGTAGTTACGGAATGAAAGATATAAACGGACTTATAAATGTTGGGAACCCTATAAAAGATACTTTCGCCAAATGACAAATAAACTAAGTTTAACTATCCAAATCATGTCAGTTTCAAAATTTCGCATAATGTTGGTATAACACAGAAAATGCTTAAACTGCTACATTATTTAACACAACAATTAAAATGAGCACAATGGTAATGAACTTACGTCTATCTCCATCGTCCTCCATTAACGAA